CTCTGGGGAAACCCAGCCAGATGGATGGGGTATAAATATATATTATTATTATTATTATTATTATTATTATTATTATTATTATTTACAACCTAAACAGCAGGAAAATTGCTTTAGAATCCATCTAGAACATTTCCCAAGAACTGAAATGGAGACTGATTCAGCAAAACCTAATATTCTGCAGACACTGGACTCGGCGATGGTTTTATAGGATGGCTGCCAACCTGTTTCCCTCAAACGCAGTGGAAAGAGAGGTGGCGTGGAAGGAAGAGCCTCCATGTGATCTAGCATGCTGCCTAGGCTTTTGAACCACATCTGCATCGTTCCCAAATCCTCACCCCCCCCCAACCCAGGTATCTCTAGAAACAAGCTGCAATATCACATTAATGAGTGGAATCTAACCTTTTTTATTGGTGGTGAAATATTTGGAGTCCGTCATGATTTCAAGTTCTTATCACACCTGGAATCAAAAATATAGCAATATTTTAATGCTTAATAACAATAATAATAATAAAACCCTATGTCCTTTACATAAAATGGTACAAAATAGTACTTTAGAGAAGAGCAGACATAATACAATTATTAAAATACATTTAAGAATTAGGCTTTATACTCTTCCGGACGCTCTGAGAATTAGGTAAGAGGGAACTTTATCAATTTGAAGCATTAAAGAAAAACTCTCCTGGGTCAGACCAAAAGTCCATCTATGAGCACTTTTATCAACAGAAACCCACTGGAAGATCCCAGGCGGCTCTCACAGACATCTCCTGCTTTTTTCTAGCACCTGTCAGAGAGAGGTATTCTGTTTCTCCATTTTTAATCCTATATTCACAAAGGGTCACACAGAAATCCACCCATATCCATAATCCATCACCTTTTTGCCCAGTCTTTCCGTAAGTTTGGGCACTGTCATGTTATTCACTCATTCTTTTTTTTTTTTTTTTTTGCATTCAAATCCTGCCCTATATATACATATATACATATAAACATATAAACATACATATATACATACACACACACACCCCACCCTCTCATAAAATATCAGGGTGGCATAGAGCAATATAAAATTTGTATTAAATAAAAATGATTTTAAAAATAAGTAAGAAAAAAAATCATCCAAAGCAGTACAAAACAATAATTAAAACAACTGGCTGAATAAAAAATATTTTAAACAACTGCATAGCCTGTTGGCACAAAAAAAAAAAACAACTTTCAGAGAAACCCCTGAAAGTTAAAAGTAAGGATGCAAGAATGCCTCCTGAATCTCTGCTGGAAGGGCCTTCCAAAGAGACACTAAATATCTGACTTCTGGATGAGGCCATCCTCTATTCCTAAAAGTACTCACATAATTCATTTATTTGTAGAACTATTTTATATTTCTATTCAGCAGGGGAGGCCAGTAGGTGATGGTGGGGGCACTGCCCGGCTGGTGCTAACCTATAACAGGGCCTTTTCAGTGGTGGTTTCCCCAGCTGCAGAATGCCCTCTCTAGCGAGGTGCATTTGTTTCCCTCGTTATTAACATTCATAGTGGATCTTAAAACACTCCTATCCACCCAGGCCTTTGATGGCCAAAATATACTGTTCCAGGCAACCTGAAATTATTCAAAGTGAAGCTATGTGATTATTTCTTAAAATGCGTTTAGGGGTTATTAGCATTTTGAAATGGGATTTTATTTTAATGGCATTGTTTTGCTGTCTGCCGCCCTGGGCTCCTTTGGGAGAAAGGGTTGGGAAATTTAGATAGATAGAAATTAGATAGAAATCTAATTGATAACAATAATGCAGGATGCTGGCATTTCGAGATTGCAGATGTTTTCCCATCCCTGGGTAAAATTAGTAGGGAGGGATGCCTGAGCAAGTTTTTAAAACGAGGGACAGATGAAAAATCTCTCATAGAGTCATCTCACCATCCCACAGCAGTCTAAGCAAGAGGGGTGTCTCACCAGTGCCAGTGCATTTTTCTAGGAACCAAGATCTGATAGACCAAAAGGTGATTTGGGCAGGTGGGGAGCATCTAATGACCTATTGCGCCAAACCAAATTCCTGGGAACTGTGAGGAGGGGAGGTAGATACAGATCCTTTACCGGAAATTTATTTTTGTTTGTTGAATTTATATAATTACCTGGGCTGCTTACAAAGAAACAAACAGTGCTAAAAAGTACAATATATACCATGATTCCAATAATCAAAAAGCAATAGAAGGAGGTAAATACTAATAAAAATTACAAGACTTAAAGGAACCTGGATTTAAAGTAGAATTAAAATGAGTGAATGAACAGGGTGAGTTGTTGCAATAAAGATATTTTTTATTTTTTTAAAAAAATGAACAGGCTGAGTGAACCTGGCACAGAAAGGACCAGAAATTAAGATTCTGATAACAGCATGAAGAAATGTGATCTATTTCTCTAGGTATCATACAAGGCCAGGGGTCAAAATTGCAATCTGACACTGATGCAGAATTTTGACACTGATGCATTCAAATTTAAGGGAGGGTTGCAAGGAGTCCTGGATACAAATCCATGTTGTAACAGGACAAATCTTTATTTGTGTAAGATTCAGAAATGTTGATATAAAGGATGCAGAATAGGCTTCCCAAAGCCTCATCAGATCCTAGTCCTAGCATGTATAAAGGGACAGACTGCCCTCTGAGAATCTGCAAAGTGCATTTCCCTCTGCATATACAGAGTGAGCCCTTTAAAAGAGGCCCTGTGGATACAGATTACACATGTTCCACGGGGACTCTTTTAAAAGACTCACCCTGTATTTCCAGAATCAAAAAAGGAGGGATTTCCAGGGCAAAAAGTCTTATTTCTGGCCCAGGCTAAAAATCCAGTCCACCACTCCAGCTTCTGGCTAAACTGGGGGGGGGGGGGACACGCAGGTAGAAGCTCTCCTCCGAAAAACCTTGGAGTCTGCTCTAAGCCTTTCCTCTTTGGTTTAGTTTGGGACCTGTTCAAATTAAATGGTACAAAGATGATCTGCTATGCTCTCTCTCTCTCAGACTCGGAACACCCCTTCCAACCTGGAAATCTGAATCCAGTTACAAAGATTTGGGATGAGAGACCCAACAAGGAAGAGGGAAGGTTTCAACTGGACTTTGCATTGAGGGGCCACTACCCTACCCCCAGTTTCCAAACCCTAAAAAGGGAGCAGAGTGAGGAGAGGAAAAGGCAGGTTTCGGAGGGGAGATAAAAAGAGGACAGAATCTGCCTCCATCCCATGCCAAAATCTGGACCAATTTCAACCCTCTCCAATATTCCATTTTATGTTCAGTCCATTTATACCAAACCTCCAAGACACTCCTTCACCCCCAGAAGCTGTCTCTGACCTGGCCCAGCCCTGCCTCCATTCATAAGAGAAGGGCCAGTTCCCACTTTCCCTCTCTCCACCTGCACCAGTGAAAAAGGGGGAATTTTCATGCAACCCCCACTGTAGAAACCCCACTGGAGTCCCCCCCCAAACCCCAGGTCCTCCCATTCCTTCACTCCAAACAAGCCCATGCTTCATTTTCTCCAACCTCCTCCCACAACCAACTCCAAATGCCTTTCTTTAGTCTCTGGGGTGCTCCAGGATCTCTGTCGCCTGCTGCCCCACTGCAGGGACAACTCTACCCTTGCAATATTGCACACAACATACATTCTGTAGGTAAGCCACTCTGGGCGCCTTTTGGGCTGGGTACAAATAATCTAAATAAAGACTCAGATTAACAGGTGATTAAACAAATTACATTGTTGTTATTAATATTAATAACACTGCCAAGGCCCTTCACCTTGCTCCATAATAATAATAATAATAATAATAATAATATTGGTAAAAGCAATAATGGCAATAATAATATTACTGCCAAGTCCAGCCCCCCCCCCCAAGGACAACCTTGGGGTAGGGGGAAAATAAAGAATCCTTCTAGTCTGGGGGAGGGGCACGCATCCCCCCCAAGCCCTCCTGAAAGGCGTGCACCTCCCCCACCCCATCTCAAGCCCCTCCTTGGAGGGAGCCCCAGTTCCTGCCCTCCCCCCTCAACAAACAACGGAGGGCTCCCCCAATGGATGCTGCCCCCTTTTTTCGGAAAGGAGAAGGGATGTGCCCCTCCCCTATTTCCTCTCGCCCAGCCCAAAACAGAGGTACCCGTCGCCCCGCTCCCCGTTACGACACCCCCCCACCAATTCCCCCCAAGGGGCGGGGCCACCCCGAAAGGCCCCTCCCCCCGACTCACCTGCAAGGGGGTGGCGGGTCCTCGAGAGCCTCTTTGGCTGGCGGGAGGGGAAGCAGCAACGGCCGCGGAGAGCCACAAGCAGCTCGGCTGGGGAGGCGGCCGGAAACCGGGATGTCTCGGAGGACCAACCAACCGTCCGCGCCACGCCTTCTCGCCTAGAGCGTCGCGTGGCCACAGAACTTGAGGGGCCTAGGTCGGCCCACGCTCACTTCCGGCCGGAGGGACATAGATGTAGAAGGGAGTGAGTGGCCCAGGTACATACCTGACACCGCACTTGTGGGTTTCTGGTTTTTTGTTTTTAAAGGCCACTCATTATACCCTCAAAGAAGATATAAATACGGGGTTTTTTGAACCACGGAGATGACGAAGGCTAGGGAGGAGACGCTTTACCTTCCCCCACCGGCAATAGCGGGTTTCCGGCCATTGCAGGAAGTTCCACCCCCTTATCACACTACTACTTCCTGGAAAATGTTCAATTGTATATATGAATAAACTCTTCATTACAGTATTGCATATATCTGTGTCTGTGTGTCAATACGCATTTTTATATTTAGTAAAAAAATCATTATATAATATATTTATATTGCTTGCTATATTATACATTATTTATACAGTATATTAACTTGCAACAAAATAAGATGCCTCATGCCTTAGCCCCTTCCTAACTCTACCTTACCATAGAGATGAGGAAGAAAGGCTAGAATAGGCTTCACCTGAGCTACTTCCGGTCTCACATTTGGACCAGGAGACAAGGAGACCCATGGAGTGCTGGAGGAGCTGAGGTTGTGCTAAGAGGGAAGCGCGGGGAAGGGGAGGAAAGGGAGACCCCAGCCCACCCCTGTTCCTTCCTTTAATAATATCATGTACCGTATACCCCGCCCATCTGGCTGAGTAGCCCCAGCCACTTTGCTTTTCCTTCTCCCGAGGGGTGGCTGGTGATGGGGGCACAGACACAGAAAGCAGCCTCATGCAGAGCTCTGCAGAGCTCAGTATTACCCACACTGACTGGCAGCAACAGCTCTCCAGGGTCTCTCCCCCCCCCCATCCTATCTGGAGATGCCACTGGAGCTTGAACTTGAGACTGTCCTCACGCCACCCTCCATCCTCCCAAGTGCAGGTGCTGTAATTTCCCAGCCTTCAACTTTTCCGAAGGCTAGAAGCTTGTGAAGCTTCGAGTCCGAAGCAGTAGGGCATCAGATTGTACACCAAAAGGTGAACATGCCCCTAATGCCCCTCTGAATCCAGAAGCTTTGTGCACCCTATTAACAGCAGCCTGCGGTAACCATTTTCGTTCTTTCCATAAGATTTCACCAGCAATCCGGATTTTCCATTCCAGAAGACGCCATGGCAGAGCATGGGGCTCACCTCACTGCGGCCTCCATCTATGAGGACAGGCCATCCATCTTTGAAGTCGTTGCCCAAGACAGCTTGATGTCAGCTGTGAGGCCTGCACTGCAACATGTGGCCAAGGTAACAAAAATTCCCCGTGGGCGGCATTCCACCCTGCTGAGTGGTATTCAGCAGGATGGCCTACTGCTACTTCTCTGTGCCTGTGGGACCAGCCCAAGATGGCTGCAAATAAAACGTTTTAAGTGTATTGTAAAGTGCATTATACAAATGTGACACTAGATGGCGATGGCGAGCTATGGCAAAATCAATATATTTTTCAAAACCTTTTTTTAAAAAGCATTTTCACATTTTTTATATGTCTGGATTCGACCTATAGCTACTGCTGATTTCAGTCATCCATTGGATATTTTTATATACCTGCTTGTCAGTAATTCTAATGCTTTATATTTTTATAAACAGCTTCAATCAAACAATATATAAAAATTTTGTTAAGTGAAATAACTCAGTAAGCAGCCCGGAAGCTCAGGAGAAGCTAGGAAGCTGTGTTTTACCTTGCATGCTTTCGCAAAGGGGCATCTGTTTGGCCACTGGGAGGCTACTGGACTTGATGGCCCTTTGACCTGGTCCAGAAGGGCTCTTAATTGTTATACCATTGTTCCATCTAGCTCAGGATTGTCTATAGCAACCTTCCCCAAAAGTGCGCCTGCCATGCTGGCTGGGGCTGAGAATTACCCCTGAGACAATGCAGCTCTTATCAGGGGTGGGGAGGGGGGAGACTTCCTGCCCCTTACTTAGGCCTTGCTTTCTCTTGCGCCAGGTGCTGGCTGAATCCAACCCTGGCCGTTACGGCTTCCTGTGGCGCTGGTTTGACGAAATCTATGCCCTCCTGGATCTGCACCTCCAGCATCACTTCCTCTCAAGGTGCAGCGCCTCTTTCGCTGAGAACTTCTACAGCTTGAAGAGAGTGGTGATGAGCTACGGGGGCAGCAAGCCCAGGCAGAGGCGCTCAGTCACTGCCGGGTTGCCACGTAGGCCTCACTGGAAATCCCTCTGCCTGCTGGTCCTCGTTCCCTACCTGAGGACCAAACTGGAGGCGCTGGTTTCCCGTCTCCGGGAGGAGGACGATTACTCTATCCACCCGCCATCGTCGGCCTGGAAGCGGTTCTACAGGGCCTTCCTGGCCGCTTACCCCTTTGTGAACTTGGCTTGGGAGGGCTGGTTCCTGGTCCAGCAGCTTTGCTACGTCCTGGGGAAGTCCCGGCACCACTCGCCCATGCTGATGCTGGCTGGCGTCCAGCTGGTCAGGCTCACGGCGGAAGATGTGCGAGCCTTAGAGAAGGTGGCAGCGGCAGCGGCTGTGAGCGGGAGCAGGAGCCCACAGCCAGCAGGAAGGTGAGCTGAAATGGGGAAACGGGCAAGCTTTGAAAGGGACATAAAGACAGCCAAACCATCTTTCTGGACCAGGGCAGTGCAGCACGCATGTGGCCTGTTTTGGCAACCCTCAGCAACATTTGACACTTGCAACCCTTGTGCTGCCTTCTCAAAGCCAGGTAAACAAGGTGCTGGGTTTTGGGAAGGAGGTGTGATGGCTCTGGCAAGATCCCACCTCTTTCCCAAAACCTAGTGTTTTTCCAGCTTTGGAAAGAAAGTGGCAGGGCTTTAGAACCCTGCCAGAGCCTCACACCAAAATATTGGAGCAATCTACAGCAATTGGGCAAGAGATTCCTGTATTGCAGGAGGTTGGGGTAGCTGACCCTTGTTGTCTGTTCCAACTCTACAATTCTAAGATTGTAAGACTAATTGTGCATAAAACAGTACGATAAATTCCAAATTTTAAAAGCTGAAATCGGAAATCAGGTAACTGTTCTATCTTTAATTGCCTATATATGAGAATAGAAAAGTTTCCAGCAGGCAGTTTAAAAGCTGGCACAGAAGGTGCCTGCTGAATCTCCATTGATAGAAGATTCCCCGGTTTTGGGCTAAAGACTCGGTTTCTTCCTGTTGTCATATGAGCCTCACCAACCCGGATAGCTCAGTTGGTTAGAGTGTGGTGCTTATAATGCCAAGCTTGCAGGATCGATCCCTATATGGAACAGCTGCATATTCCTGCGTTGCAGCGGGTTGGACCAGATGATCCCTAGGGTCCCTTCCAACTCTACAATTTGATGATTCTAGCTCAAGGAACCCACTCTGCTCCTGCAGATGAGCTCAGGGTTCAGGCAATCCCTGAGGTACCCTGGCCCCAAGTGGTTCAGGGCTCTGCAAATTAAGAGATGAACCTTGAGACTGGCTTCATAGCAGATGGGCAGCCAGTAAAGAGTTAGCAGTAGTGTCAAATTTTCTCGGCCAAATGTCCTCATCAGCAGTCTGGCCTCTGCATTCAGCACCAGCTGGAGCCTCCGATCCAGGCCTCCTCAGGGCAGCCCCACAAAGACTGCATTACGTTAATCCAGCCCCAAGATACTGACTACAGTGGTCAGCTGGCAGCAGAGAAGATGCCTTCACTCAGTGCTCTTTTTTTATCTGTCTTGTGTCTCATAGCTTGAAACAGCAGGTACAGTCTGCTGCAAAAAAAGCCTTGGGCGGCCTGGCCTTCTCCCTCTCCACCGGCCTCTCCGTGGGCGTCTTCTTTCTCCAGTTCTTGGAATGGTGGTACTCGTCTGAGAACCAGGAGTCCATCAAGTCCCTGACAGCTCTGCCTACCCCTCCGCCGCCCGTCCACCTGGACTGCAGGGCAGGCTCCCCGCTCTTGCCGAAGCTCAAGACCGTCTGCCCACTGTGCCGCAAAATCCGCGCCAACGACACGGCCCTCTCCACCTCCGGCTTCGTCTTCTGCTACCGCTGCGCCTACAACTACGTGAAGCAGCACCAGCGGTGTCCTATCACAGGCTATGCCACGGAACTCCAGCACCTTGTCAAACTGTACACCCCTGAAAACTGACGGAGGTGGCCCACATCCTGTCTCAGGCACCACGTGGCTGGATGGGATACTTGATTATGTTTGTATGTGCTTCTCTTGTACACACATGAAATTTATCTGCTACGCAGGCATCCCGTGACGTTTTATTGGTGGTCTCTATGAGCTTGGCTACTGTATGAAAAGCAGGCAGGCTTTGACCGTTGAGAACTCTCTGGTTATCTCGCTCAACTTATTTCTCCTAGCTGCTGAGGAAGATTAGCTGAGTGAGAGTACTAGAGAGATAAGCCTGCTTTGCCTTCTTCCTTTCAGTACATGAAGGCACACCTCCATTGCAGGCTCCCATATATGAGAATTCAGAAGGCTCCCTGTGCACAGAGTGGTGTGCCTCAACTTTCTTACTGGCTATTTTGCTCAGCTAATTCCCCCCTGGAACAAATTAGGCTGTGATGGGTATCAATGCATGTGTCCCTTCCAGAGTCCTGACAAATCTAATCCAAAACTGCTACAGTGGTACCTTAGTTCTCGAATTTAATCCATTCCGGGAGTCCGTTCATCTCCCGAAATGTTTCAGAAACCAAGGTGCGGCTTCTGATTGGCTGCAGGAGTTTCCTGCAGTCAATTGGAAGCTGCGTCGAACATTCAGCTTCTGAAAAACGTTTGGAAACTGGAACACTCACTTCCAGGTTTTGCGGCATTGTTTGACTACCAAGGTACCACTGTATCTGCATTTCAAGGAAATCTGTTTACAGCTTCTCAGGGGCAGTGTTTACAGGGCATTAACCCTTTCCTCCCTACCACCATCTGCTGTGTTCCTGAGGCTGCTTTGGCTTCCTCCAGCTGCTATTTACATAAGAAGAAGAAAATGTGCTTGCTAAGTTAGATTCACAACATCCAATTTGGTCATGAGAGAGAATAATTTATTTATTGTTTTAGGTTGAATATATATATATATTCTGCTCTTTAGCCAAAAAAAAAGGCTCTCAGTAGAGGTTACCGGTAAGACAGTTCCCTGCCTGCCAACTTGTAATATAAAAGACGTAACACAAAAGTAAAGGGGTTTAGGAGGGAACAGGGTGGGAAAGCACACTTGTCTTAGTCGCAGGTTTCTCACCAGGATCAGCTGGAACAGAAAGCTTCCAATGGAAAGAGGAGCTTTCAGTAGTTGGTTGTAGAGCTCCTTCATTCCCATCCGTCCCCAGCAGCCTGATGGAACAGGTGCTGCAGATGAGAGTTGGTGGAGAGTTGCATGGTGAAACTGCTCTTTTAGCCAAGGAGCCGCAACTAGAGAACTCTCAGAAGTCAGGTCCTGGCTCTGGTGAGCACTACAGGAACGCACAACCTGTGTCCCTCTAGATGCTGGAGCAAGGGTGCGGAGAGTTCTTAGGGCAGGCATGGCCAAACTTGGCCCTCCAGCTGCTTGGGGACTACAATTCCCATCATCCCTGACCACTGGTCCTGTTAGCTAGGGATGATGGGAGTTGTAGTCCCAAAACAGCTGGCGGGCCAAGTTTGGCCATGCCTGTCTTAGGGGATCCCTATTCCCCTCACGTAGCTACAACTTCTGGCTTATCAATGCCTCTTTCCCTAGGAACTCCTAAGGAAAATGGAGCTTTGTAAGGGGAACCAGGGTCTCCTAGCAACTCTCTGCAGCCTTAGCAAGCCCCCGCTCCCAGGGTGCTTTGGAGGAAGGCACGGCTGTTTAAAGGGCTATGACACTGCTTTAAATGTACAGAGCAAATGGGCCCTAGGATGGCCAACTGTTGACTGCAGCTCCCCTCGGCCCCAGCTAGTGTGGCAAGTAACCCAGCAATACCATGGCAGCACCATGTTGGTCAGCCCCACCATAAACTATGGCAAACGACGCTTTTGTGTCCGATTCCAGGAAATGTTCTTAATATCTGGTGAGGGAGGGCGGAGGTCAGAGCAGGACTCTGCTAGGAGGGATTCTCCTCCAAGGGCTCCCCTTCAGGAGCGTAGCACTTGGTGGGTGAACCTCCCACATCATCATCGCCTCCTCTCTTCTATGCGTCAACAGGAGCAGAAGACCATTACCTGCAAAATATGGAAACAGAGGGCCCTGTTAAAACGTTCAAGCGAATGTGATCCAAAAAACATATAAGACAAATAATGTTTTACACTACAATTCCCATCCTCCCAAGCCACCACCACCATTTTGGACTCTTCCTCAACCCCAGCCTTGCCCTTCCGGCTCATGGGAGTTGTAGTCCAAATCATTTGGAGGGTATCAGGTTACAGGAAAGGCTGGATATGACAATCCCCCAATAAACGTTTAGCCGTCATGGGGGTGGAGGGGTGGGAATCAAACTCTATCATAAAATGGTGGTTGAGCTATGTTGAGATAAAGTTATGCACTGTGTTTATTCATTTAATTTCTCCACGGAACTCAAGGTGGTATACATGAGTCTCCCCTTCCTCAAGCCCAACAACAACCCTGTGAGGTGGGCTAGGCTGAGAGGCAGGCACTGGCCCAAGGTCAACCAGTGAGCTTCATGGCTGAGCAGGGATTTGAACCCTGGTCTCTCCTAGGTCATAAACTCGGAATTTTATATACAAAAATGCATAAATCATCCCGATTTTTCAGATTCCTTGACCTTGAAAACACCATATTAACAACTGCAGGTTCTTAACGTATTTAGATTCCTTAAAATATTTTCTTAGAATTCCAATAAAATTTACTTAGGATTTCTTATTTACTAAGAATTCCAATAAAATAATTTCCAATAAAACTTCTGATTTTTTTTTTACTTATAACATTTAATTCACATTCAGCGTGCTTTGCTAAATGTCCCACCCCTGCAAATCAATTTTTTCCATTTAAATACTTTTGACCACAGGAAAAGAGAAATATTCACACAACCTGCAAAAATGGCATAGCAGACATTCAACCCTAGATGCACTTACTAGGCAGCAGGTCCCATGATTTAGTTTGAAGTAAAGATGCATGTTTAGGATTGCCATTATAATTTTTATTTTTTTTGCTTAGACATGGGGGGGAAACACACCAGATCATGTAGGACATTGGATATTTTAATTCAAAACTTTCTGCCCTTCCTGCTCCACACTGCAATCACTACATGCTAATTCTCCAGATTGTATAGCTACTCTGGAGTAAGGCCCACTAAATTCAATTGGACTTAACTCCCAGACAACATTAAGGTGTTTTGTTTTGATATCAGCAACCTCCATTACAAAAACCACATTGAGCAGTGGGATTTTTGCATTTGCAAAAGGCACTTTGAACAGTTTACACATCTGGAAAGTTGCAATCCTGAACACATGTATTACCGTATTTTTCGCTCTATAAGACGCACCAGACCACAAGACGCACCTAGTTTTTGGAGGAGGAAAACAAGGGAAAAATATTCTAAATCTCAGAAGCCAAAACAGCTAGAGGGGTCGCTGTGCAGTGAAAGCATCAATCCCTCTTGCTGTTCTGGCTTCTGGAATAGCTGTGCAGCCTGCATTCTCTCCATAAGACGCACACACATTTCTCCTTACTTTTTAGGAGGGGAAAAGTGAGTCTTATAGAGCAAAAAATACGGTATTTATTTGTTAGCAGCCTCATACCCAACATTGCTCAGGAATTCTTAGAAGCCAAAATAATTCAGCGCAGCTTTGAAATCAGTGGTTAAAAGTAGTTGTTAAAGGTTCAGTCCTCCATCTTGATTCAAAGGGGTATCCAATGTGGATTCCAATCCACCTTCTGCCCAGTCCTGGTTTACTGTTTCCAGCAGTGATTTAACAGAACTCTTATCACAACCCCGTTAGTACTGATGGGGTTAACCTTAAGAGATTGATAAGATCCCAACCACCACCAAGGAGAGGAGATCACCTGCATGCAGACAGCCAAAATCTGCTCAGAGAGAAGATTACGTGATCATGTCCTGGTCAGAGCCAAACCAGAAGTTGTGGCAATACCAGGTCAGACTATACTTCACTCATCATTGCCTCTGGCATATCTTACAGGCAACCCCGGGGCTGTGGCTCAGTGGCAGTGCATCTGCTTTGCGTGCAGGAGGTTTCAGGTTCAATCCCCAGCATCTCCAGATCAGGACAGGAGAGACCCCTGCTTAAAATCCTGGAGAGCAACTGCCACACGGTGAAGATGGTCCGGTTCAAAATGAAGCAGCATTCTACACTCCTAGTTAAATCAGGGCCTTAATAACTTAAGAAGTGTCTGCAGGTGTTAAGAATTGTCTGCAGGGTTCCTCAGCTTGACTCTGAAACAGGGCTGACTCTCAGGGTGCTTCACACTGTAAATGCATTGCTGAGATACTGTAGATGAGGCAACAAAGAGGGTTGGTTTGCTGTTGTTTTTTAAAAAAACAACTTGCTGTATTTGCCCCAGAAAGGTTAAATCATTTGAATACACAATTATAAGAACAAAAGAAGAGCCTGGTAGCTGATCAGGCTAAAACAGAGCCCTTCTGGTCCAGCATCCTGTTCCCACAGTGGCTTAGGCCATAAATAGCACACACCCAATCAGTGCCTCACAACCTTTGGAGTGAAAAATGCACAGATTTAAATTGCATACACCTTCATAAGATTTGCAGAGCCTGGGACTGACCTACACTCAGCTAAGTCTACCACAGAACATCTTTCTCCTTCCATTTGCGCGCGCTCTCTCTCTCTTCCACCCACGGGACCCCTAGGATAATTAGGTAGGAATAAAAATGCAACCAGTCCCGAAGGCGTAATGAAAACTATCATTCTAAAGCAACGTATCTGAAACCAAGCTGCAGCAGACCGATAAAACGAAAGAAGCCGTTGGACTTTCTGACTGCGCTACTCGAATGCAGATTGCAGAGTTGGAAGGGATCTCTAAGAACCATCCAGTCCAACCCGCTGCAATGCAATGGGGAGACTGAATTTAGTGGGGCTTTCACAGGCTGAAATCCGACACTTCCTTTCCTGGGAGTAGGTCCTAGTGCACTCAACGGGGCTTACTTCCGAGGAGACATACACAGGCAAATTTTAGCCTCCCTTACTTAGGAGAAAGCAACCATTAAACCAAACGAGGCTTACTTCTAGGTGGAAAAGCACAGGATTGCTGCTGTTAACAACATGCAGGAATAAGGGTGGAACTCTGGGGTGCGAGTTAAGCCGTTTAAATGCACGTTTAAAGCAACACTTACTTCCCGCTCAGTTTCCTCGCCGCCATCTTGCTCCCAAACTAAAGGTGGCTCCGCGCTTCAGCCTTCTCTCTCCTCTCAGCCAATGGCAGCTCACCGACAGGTCAGGTGACATTCACGGCCAAAGCATACACTCGGATCCCCGCCGGCCACGCCCACAGTTGTAGAGGAAGGAGGGAACGAGCGGCATAGGCGCGCATGCCGCACTTCGGGCTCCCATGCGAAGGCTGCCAGATGCGGCACAGAGACCCCCCTGCCATTCGCTCTATGATTCATAATGGTGGGGGCCGTATGTGGCTCGCCAGATGTTAATGGACTCCTAATAATAATAATTTATTATTTATACTCCGCCCATCTGGCTGGGTCCCCCCAGCCACTCTGGGCGGCTTCCAACAAAACACTAAAATACAATAACCTATTAAACATTAAAAACTTCCCTAAACATTCCCCCTAATCCCATTCGCCCCAGCCAGTAAGGCTAGCAGCCAGGGATGGTAAGATTTAAGAAAGTAAGAGACCAGGTATGGCGTGGTGGATAGAGTTGGATTAGGACCTCACAGGGCTACTGCTGCTGCTGTTCTTGGCATCCCTGTCTCATTGAGTTCAGGTCCTCAATGCCTCAAGGACTGCCTCTCCCCATATATACCTACCCAGAACCTGCATTCATCCTCAAAGGGCCCTCAGTGAGATCTGGATGGTAGCAACATGAGAATGGGTCTTTTCACTGGTATGCTTGGAGCCATCACTGACTAAATGTAGGTGCCAGGCAACAAAACACTTTTGAGCCAAATTTTTAACCTGGTTGACACTGTGGCCTCTAAGTGGGTGGGATTTGTTAATACAGCTTTTCATGCGCACCAATGTTTTTAGCTTTCATTTCAGCTCTATGAAGATTTTTATTTTTGCATTATACTGCAAGTTGCTTTGAGTTGATATTTTGTGAAAAATGTGACTAATAAGTGCAATTGTGATAATGATACTGGTTGGATACATCCCACCACATACAGAAAAGCTGCATAAATTTGGTACTGCCTGCAACAGTTAGTATCCCAAGAAATCTTGGCTTTTTGTTCTCTCTTCCCCCACCCTCAGGAGTTTTTTGTTCTCTTTGAGTGAAAACATACACTTGTATGTGGACAATGTCTAGTAAAATTTCTAGAGGCGAGGACCCTTACAGCTTAATGCCTCTCCCTCTCTCCCACTTGTTAATTTAAAAAAAGTTACAGTAAGATATGCCACTTTGCCAAATTTAGATGAACTGCAAAATACAGCTATTCCCACTTCCTATTTTTCTGCAACACAGATTCTGCAAAGAGTCCCAAGTATCCATGATGTTCAACGCTTCCTTCCTAAACACACAGGGGTTGCTGGGGGTTCCCGGATAAGGGTGGGGAAAACAGGCAAAATGTCACAAATAAACAATCAGCTTTTATTGTCTGAATTATAAAACATGTCAGATTTTTGGCAAATATTTTACAATTTCATTCCTTCTTTTTTTCAACAGCCCGTGGAAGAGAGAGCCTTCTTTTCTTTTTTTTTAGGTGATGGAGAGTTGGGGGTGGTTGGAGAAGGGGGAGGGGAATGATGGAAATCAGAAGATGAACATTTTGATGGACTTGCTTTAAAAGTAAAATAAAAAAGGAGGGGGAGGAATCTGACCCAAGTTCCCTCCCGCCAAATAAAAAAAAAATCCAATTTCACATTTAATTCCACTATCCAAAAGAGGCCATGTGGGGTATAAAGCAGCAGGCAAAACTCAGCAAAGTTTGCTGTGAAAAGCCGTCAGAAAGATGGGGTAGGGAGCGGGGGACCTTCACAGCTGTTCTTAGTAGGGTCGGTTGCGTTGATCGCTTCTGAAGTCATTTCTGGAAGAGAAAGAAAGGAGGTTTTTTTATTAACCTGAATACCTTCCTGTCCAGTGACTGCACCCTAGAACCAGCCACCTGGACTCTGGACCTGGCTGGCACCCTTGTAAGCAGTAAATGTCTGGACAGCTTCAGTGGGCCAGGTGTAAATTTGTGGAAAAGGCACCCTAAGCCAAGTTTTCCAAAAAAACTTCCATTTTCTCATCTCCTTCCTCCGGCCTTTGACTCCTGAGATGTGCATTTCCAGGACCCAACCTATGCCTGTGGATGTAGTATGTTTTAACTGCTTTTAACTCTGAATTTTAAAACTGTTGCAACCCACTCCGGGACCTGCTGGTGAAGGGCAGGTAACAAATCATCACGATCATCAGCATCTCCTGACCTGTGGCCTATCTAGACATAACACTTTTGTTTTTAAAACTGTTCATTTTATTGTGTCTACTTCTTTTTAAAGCTTGTTCATTTTTATCAGTACCTTCTTCTGAACATTTTAAATTATTCTATGAAAAACACTTGCTTTTGGGGGGTTGGTTGGTTTTACAATCAATCCCTCGTCTCAGGGAACTATGGGAAACTGGAGCTATGTAAGGGGGAATCAGGGGCCTCTTAACAGCTCTCAACACCTTTCAGAGACTACAACTCCCAGGATTCTTTGGGAGGGGGAAGCCCTGGCAGTTTAAAGTGGTATCGTAGTGCTTTAAACATAGGGTGTGAATGTGTCCGAAGACGCAATGATGGGGAATACTGATTTGGGTAAATCCCAGATCTAACAGGCCCTTTGGCCATTCCAGTAAGTAAAAAAATTCAGCACTGACCGGCCTCCCATTTTTCCGCCAAAGCCACCGCCTCTGCGGCCTCTGAATCCCCGGTCGCCTCCAAAGCCTCCCCGGCCGCGGAAGTCTGTAGGGGGGAAAAGCAAGATGAGCAACACAAGGGAACACTTTCTCCAAGCTGTGGCATCCTGCCCCCCACCCCATTTCTGGCATTGTGGTTTGCTTTGGGGTTTTGGTTTTTTTCACACACCTCCTCCTGATGGATGCCCATCGTCCGGCCTGGGCTCATCGCACTGATTGCAGGAATTTCGACGGGCAAAATTCATATTGCCGCAGCTCCTGAAGGAAACAAGGAAACACGCGTTTTAGAAAATGCTCTGGATATTTTTTTGGGGGGGACACACTTGGAAATGCTAAATTGTGTTGTTGCGATTTTTGTATATTGCGTTTATTTTTATTACTTTTGTTTCCAGCCCTGTGACTGAAAACATATGAGGAACAGACTACAAATACCATCAATAAAACAGAATGGAATAAAAATAATAGCCGGTGTGGTATAGTGGTTAGAGTCCTGGCTGGGCTAGGACCTGGGAGACCAGGGTTGAAACTCGGCCATTAGGCCCACTGGGTGACCTTGGACCAGTCGCTCACTCTCAACCTAACCTGGACTCAGCCCCCAGCCAGTGGTTAGGGATGATGCAGCTCTCGAGTTCAACAACATCTGGAGGGCCACAGATACCCTATGCTGCTCAGCTTGCATTGCAGCTTCCTATGTTCCAACATGGAAGAAGATGAAGCCCTTATTCAGATACAGGCCTATGGATAGGAACTTACGGGTTGGGGCAAACCCAGTCGCCACTTTTGGGTTCTCCGCCTCGGCCCTGGAAGCCGCCGCCTCTTCCGAAACCCCCTCCTCGGGAACCTGCCGTCACAAATACATTGCAGTTAGACCAAAGAAACACATGTGGGTAGGACTTAGCCGAAAAGCATCAGAATGGCCTCTGCTCCCTGCTTCGGAGAGAGGGACAGCCAAAAAGAGATTTGGGGGAGAAAATTGCTCCCACGCTCAGTCTCGAAATAAGAGCACCTCTGGATCATATGCAAAGGCGACTGGGGAGGAGGTCCTGTTCCTACCTCGGCGACCACCACCACCACCACCACCTCCATTGCCTCCTCGCAAGAATTCAGGCCGTCTGGTTGCAAAGGAAACCCTGATAACACTGCCGTTGAATTCCTTTCCTGAAAATAAAAATAATAATAATTCTTTTTTAAAAAAATTAAAAGGAAGGAAAGAAAAATCCACAGCTGCTCAGGCACAAAAATGAAAAAGAAACCGCCCATCACAGAATCCTAGGAGAGATGGCTAAAAGCTCGGTTACTTGCCTGAGGATATGTATTCCCTGTGCTCTCACCCCCCACAAAAAAACCAGTTCCAAAAATCTGAGGCAGCTTTCCTCAACCTTTGGTTCCCAGATGCCGTTGGACTACAGATCTCACCATCCTTCAAACATGGGCTGTGCTGGCTGTGGATGATCTGAGATGTTGTACTACAACATCTTGCATCTCAAGGACTGTATGTTATAAAGTAAAGCTTGTTGGTGCCTACAAGAACCTTTAATTGAGCCAGGAGGAGGGAGAGAGAGTAGGGTAAATAAACAGGCCATGAGTTCTCCAGATCCTGCCTCCAGTTCCCCATCACTCTTGATCTTAGTTGTTTTAAGACTGCTGCATAAAAAGGAGGAGGGGAATCATGCACCGGCTACTGAGAGGAAGGCAGCCAGTCTTACCATCAAACCAGTCGATGGCTGCCTTAGCAGACGGTGGGTCATCAAAAGACACTGTCGCTTCGCCCTTTGGCTTCCCAGTATCCTTGTCCGTATAGAGGTTAATCATGAGTTTGCCAGTTTTCTTGTTAGTCTGGGAAGAAAAAAGAAAGAAAGGCATGTCGTCACCCTCCATATAACACAGAACTGCTGTGTCTGGCATTGGTGGTGGGGGACTAATGTGGGGCAGGACCACACAGTGTTATGGTTCTGGCTTTCTCTGATCTTCTAGGCATGGCAGATTAAGCCACAAACTGTGTGACTGGTGCCCATGGCACTCTCTCAAATTTCCCCAAAAGTGCCACTGACCTAAGAAGGCTGGCACCTCCTGCTCTGGGGCACCAGCAACTAGAGAAAGGCTGTTGGGTGCCAGAGGGGTGAATCCCCACCCACACATCAAATATATATCTGGAAACATGTAACAGCCATGTTTTTGCAATGGATGTGCACATTGGTACAAGCAAAAATTTTGAGCGGAGGCTATTAAGTGATGGGTCTCCATATGGACAGGAAGTTGGATCACTAATCTTTTGGTCTTTGCACTCTAAGAACTTCCACTGGTAGAGATCCAGCAAGAAACTGCATCATCAAAAGCAGAGGCCAGGTGACAGTGAAGGGGGGAAACCCAGACAGATTTTGGGAGTTGGTTAACAAGAGTTCATCAC